CGGGATCGTGTTTATTCTGGTTTGTGTCACTCATATTATGTATATGCCAATGAGATCGTGTTTATTCTGGTTTGTGTCACTCATATTATGTATATGCCACCGGGATCGTGTTTATTCTGGTTTGTGTCACTCATATTATGTTTATGCCACCGGGATCGTGTTTATTCTGGTTTGTGTCACTCATATTATGTTTATGCCACCGGGATCGTGTTTATTCTGGTTTGTGTCATTCAGCTTATGTTCGTGCCACATGGATCGTGTATATTCTGGTTTGTGTCACTCAGCTTATGTTCGTGCCACAGGGATCGTGTTTATTCTGGTTTGTGTCATTCAGCTTATGTTCGTGTCACATGTATCGTGTTTATTCTGGTTTGTGTCATTCAGCTTATGTTCGTGCCACATGGATCGTGTTTATTCTGGTTTGTGTCATTCAGCTTATGTTCGTGCCACATGGATCGTGTTTATTCTGGTTTGTGTCATTCAGCTTATGTTCGTGCCACAGGGATCGTGTTTATTCTGGTTTGTGTTACTCATGTTATGTTTATGCCACCGGGATCGTGTTTATTCTGGTTTGTGTCATTCAGCTTATGTTCGTGCCACAAGGATCGTGTTTATTCTGGTTTGTATCACTCATGTTATTGAAGCTGTTTTTGTGGTGGTTTCAGCTCATTTATCGTAACACTCAGATCATGTTTTCTCTATATATATCATAGTTTGTGACCTTCCTTATCGTGTCATTTAAGTTCTATTTTTGGATAATATTCGTATTGATCAGTGTCATAGACATGATGTGTGCACTGATTTGCGCATGATAGTTTGTTCACTTCAGATCGTCAGAGAGTAATAGTTTGTTCACTTCAGATCGTGTTTGAGAGATAGCTTGTACATTTCAGATTATCAAGGTAATGGGGATCCCAAAGTTATCTAAGTCCATTAATTATCAAGGTAATGGGAATCTTAAAGTTATCTAAGTCCATTAATTATCAAGGTAATGGGAATCTCAAAGTTATCTAAGTCCATTAATTATCAAGGTAATGGGAATCTCAAAGTTATC